TACTTCATAAATTCTTTTAAGCTAATCTTCACCTTCTAAACAGACAGTCGACTCACATCACATTGTACCAATCCCTTCCAATGATTTGAAACTATAAAGGGTCTCATAAATATGAGGACCAAGATGGTATGGCAACGCTTCGATCAAGTTGCGAAAACAAGCTCGAACCAACACTATAAATGGGCTCTTCGAAACCCAGCTTTCTAGGCTGTCCGATGTCTGATAAGCATTTACAAGTTTGTGCACTAGTAGATAGTGAAGAAGTCGCATAAATTGATTAGGATGGATAATGCAATTTTCCCACACTGACACTATGACATTGAATTTCACACAGCCTTGCCTCCAAAAAGATATTCTCATCCAGGCTGGACTGCAGTTTTGACTCCACCTGGGTCTCAGCACCCCCAACGCTGGCCTAGGGTTAATACAGTTTATGTGATTGTATAGAAGCCTACTCATTTTGGATAGAACTGGATTATACTTCCAGTGCATGCGTGATTGGGACCCAACGGCGAGTATTAGGCTGATGCCCGTTTTCCGCACAATTCCTCGTAAGTTGTCTAACTGTCAGGTATTTGTTCACTAAAGCCGCATAAGACGTACCGGTGTTCGAAGAGTGGACGTAATCATTAAGTTTCCGTCCTCAGTTTAGAAGCTCTAGTTTTGCCTGATTCCATCTCGTGAACGGGTTCTCGGATCTAGGCCGATTTTCCGCTTTTTTGGTACCATGACTTTTCGCGAGATTTATCATCGCCGCGAGGCAGTCGGCCATCCGCAGTACGGGCTGATGAAAAACTACTTTTCGATATCTCACCTATCAGACAACCACTAATCATGTCGACACAGGTTTATTCAAAAGAGGCAGTCGTTTTGGCCGGATTAGTTTATCTCTTGTCATAATTGAATGACTCCTCCTACCCTATACAAGCCTGAGGGGAACGGGGCGAATATGCACTTTTCGCGGCCGAACCCGTCTTCTATATTCCCACCCTCATCCATCCTCTCATCATCCTGTTCGTCCCTCCTGGTCCCTGTTGCCAGTCAGTATCGAGGGAAAACTCCAGAAGCTTCGGGGCCACTAACCATGGGGTGCCTGCTCGACTTGTCTAAAGGGCACCAGGAGCCTGAATTGTGCGATGTCCTGCCTCGACGGAATCTCCTCCGTCCGGTTCTCAGATCTCCGAACCCATCTGCAGCTTGTGGTAGGCCAAGATGAAGGCGATGTACATCACAGACTCGTCCTAACTGGGCACAACTATGAAGCAATCCTTATATCTCAGCTCTGTATTCCATCCTCCTCGTCCGCT